ACTCAACATTTTTCGTTTTACAGTTGCAACATCTTATGTTCCTCAAAAAATACAATTCAAGCTTGAATTAGAGAAGATAAAATCTTATAGTTCAGCTTCCAAAANAACTCAACGTTTTTCGTTTTACAGCTTCAACATATTATGTTCCTCAAAAAATACAATTCAAGCTTGAATTAGAGAACATAAAATCTTATAATTCAGCTTCCAAAATAATAAAATATAGAACGTGTCATTGATTTTGGTGTTTCACTAATTTTTAAAGATGCTGAGTTGCAAAACAAGATGGCGATACAGTTATTTAATTGGTGCGATATATTTTAGAAGTTTACTGCTTTCAGTTCAAATTTTAGGTTCGAGTCTTTGGTCGTGTTTTATACTTTTGTAAAACTTTAGGATCTACATTTTTTTCTATTAGACCAAAGACATATTCGAGACTAATACTAAGTGATAAATACGGTAGAAAACACGCGAGAAAAAAATTGAAGCAGTTTTTAGGTCAAATTTGGGAAAAAAAAAAACAAAACAAAAAACCAATTAAAAAAAACTGCTGACTTAGGGTCAAATGGGCGAATTTGTATTCTCAAAATGACCCACGAAGTTTGTCTAACCTTCCCCCAAACACCCTGTATAATGGCTGAGATAGTGTTTTTAGATGCGCATTGATGGTGGCTGACTTAGTAATTCAGAGAACAACATAAACATTATATTAGTAGTAAAACATTATGCGAATGAAAGGGATCTCCATTACAGGTACATGGCTTACCTTTCTCATTATTCTCTTGCTCTTCTTTTTGTTTGAAATGGTCTTTAACTTTATTCATAAGCGTCATCAGATAGTCCTTGCGGCTGGTGATCGCGGTCCACGCTGCGTCACCTTCCCAGTTGAGACTTATCAACAACCTGGAAAAAAATATAATTATAAAAAATAAAATAAAATTTATTTATTTCAAGGCCGGGGCCCATAAAATTTCAATAATAATTAGATTAAATCAATCAAATAATTAAAATCATATTAAATCAAACAAAATAAGAAGATACAGAAATAGATTAAATTAAATTAAAACATCCAATCAATCAATATCAAATTAAAAAATTAAATTAAATAAAAAAACTTATGAATATTACGAGGCTTTAAAAATGTATCGTACCTTATGTAATTTGTTTGTTCTTGAACATTTATGGGCATAGTCTTCATTCTGGTATGAAGTTTTTCTTTTAAGTCTTCTATTTTCTTGTCGATTTCAGCAAGGATTTTCTGGAACAGCTGTGGGAAAAATAAACAAGTTTTAATTACATTACGACATAAACAACTAGACGGTTGAAAGGACAGTAATTAGGCATTTCTGGGCAGGTATGTACCACAACGCGTTTATTGGCTTTAGGAGCCCGAAACCTGATAAATAAATATAAAGTTAGATTAAAAGACAATTTGAGTTAAATAATTATTTATTGAATTTATAGCGAGAGATCCCAGGTGTAGGTAATTGCTAAATATCGTAACGCACGCGCTTATTACGTCACCAGCGATGGTATAGTCAAACCACTGTCCTCGCTGGCGGTGCTGTAGTTGTTTCTTGAACGTAGTCGTCCTGTAGAGGAGGAGCAGGCCATGCATGGCGGCTATGAAATAAAATAATGGTGGTAGAAACCCGGTGGTCGCAACCCACGGTAGAAGACCGAAGGTAGAACCCTGCGAATCAAACGGGACATTCTTGCCTCAGTTGCCTGGCCTTGTTCTGAATAAAATCCCACCTGAATCTCAGTGTTCCCGAACAAGTTCTTGACCCTGGTGTAGTCATTGACGACCAAGTCGTACTCTTTCTTGCGTATGTTCCTGTCAATCGAGGAGGGCAGCTGAAAGAGGAACTTGTGTCGTGTGAGCAGGGATAGCGCCTCGCGCGTCTTATCCGCGTTCTCTTTGCGCGAGAGAATCTCCGAGAATAAGGAGTCCGCGAGGGTAATCGAGTCTGGAATCAGAATGCAACTTTTATAATTTATCTAAGCACAACAAAACTGACAATCTAGACTAGATGTATGTTGAATGAATAATTAATTTAACGAACAAACAATAAGTTACACAATGAATTATATCATACATCAGCATTTTCAGTGTATCCCTTTTTTGTACCCAGTATTTTTAAATTATGTTTTGATGTCTTTTAGGAGATTCCATGTCTAGGTTTATATTTTTTATATATTTCTTTATTAGGTCTACAAAACGGATTCTACAATTTACAAATTAAAATACAAGTTTGTAAGTATGTTCATAGATTTGAAGGAAATCAAAGTAAGAGATTTTCTTACATAGGTTTGGTGGTAGAATACTGCAACTGCCTACCACTAAATAAATGTACCTTCAATAGCAGCCTGTAGGCTAGGCAATGGTTCCTTGCCGCTTTTCCTTTGGTCCTCCTCATACATGTTCTTGAGCAGAACAAGGCGATCCAGCTGGTCCATCACAGCTCCAGTGTTTGCTTTTAGGAAGCTGAGTTGCCCTTCTTTTTGCCCTTCAACCTGTAACAAAATACAAAATTGGCACGTATATTACAAGTAAAGCCATTCAGGCTTATTTCAACTTAGTTATTTAAACTTTATTGCTCCCAGAAAAGACAATTGGCGGACTTAATGCCTTAAAATATTCTCTACTAAAGCCCGGTCTGTGAGCACGTAAAATTTTGTCCAATGACCACAAGCTACCCATCCTTATCGCTCGCGCGTAATTATGTTGCTGTCGCGACTGTGCGACGGGCGGCCGCAGTGAGTGTGCGAGCGCGACAGCAACATACGCGCGAGCGATAAAAGGATATGTAGCTTGGGGTCATTAGACAAAATTCTACGTGCTCGCAGACCAGACTATAGTCAGTTCAATTGTTATATTTTTAGATGTTTTTATTATTATTAGATTAGGAAACTGGATTACTTATTTATTTAGAACTTATATCCACGTAAATCATAGTACATAAGGCGAAGTTAATGCCATTCAGCATTCTACTCTAGTCAACCTTAGGGCCAAACTGAGAATAAAGCAGGCGGTACAAAATTTCATAAATTCATCTATTTAGATTACCTTTCTCTGCAAGAATACCATGCCAGCTTTCAAATCTTCATAGGAAGTGTTGCTGTGATGTTCCAAGAGGTACCATCCTGGTTGAAAGTTTTCATCAGAGAGCTTGCCTGACCTGAAATGTATGGTTTTCATTTCAATTTTTATTTCATTCATTGTTTTATTGGTAACACAGCTTGATAGTGGTTTACCTAATTAGTTATTTCAGTTTTTCATTATTTTACTTCTATCAAATGATATTTGCCATTGACAGAATGTAAAATCTGATATGTTTATTAATTAGGAGCCAGAACCGAAAAGAATCTAGAATATGTCTAATTTTAAAAGTAAATTACTAATTTGTTACTAATAATTTGATGTAAACTAAATAAAAAAAGGTTTAATAGTTTTAAAAGTAATTTTAGGTTTAAAGACTTTATTCTCATAAGAACATTAATACATTTTTTTTTTACGCAATATCTTCTTGTTCTTATTTGAATTTGACCTCTCACAGGAATTAATGAACTTAGTTATAAATTATTACCCATCAGGAAACAGCTCATGCAGTTCTTCTTCAGGAAACTTGCAGTCATCGCCCTCAGTGGAGAGCCCTAACGGGTCCGGGGGCGTGTAGGTGGTGGGCGACATCGGGCGGCGGCCCCACGGCAGCGACGGAGGCACCGACTCCTCAACCCATACTGCACTCTCCTTCACGGGACCGATGGATTCATGGTACCCTAGAAAAACAAAGATTTTTTTTCTTATCGTGTCAACAACAAACCTACAGTGTCAGTCCAAAACTCCGCCACAAGAGTGGCATTGTCAATAACTAAAACTTCCTGTGTGCAGTTGTTTAGGAGCGCAGGTCATGACAATCATGTGCTTATTAAATTTTTTTATTGGTGTTTTATTAAAAGGAGAGACTGTTCTAGATGGAAAAGTCATGTAAACAATCTCATTATTTTCTCTGTACTTTTAATATGTAACTGTTCAAAGCCAATAGAAATATTACAGAGGCTTCTCCTTAGTTTTGTTATGCCTGTTGGAGGGCTTCAGTATACATACATTTGTATTAGTTTTGTGGTTAATGGTTAAATGGTTAAAATAAACTTACAATACCGAGTAACAGTTGTATTATGATTGATTTGATACTTTACCTCGGAATTGAACAGTAGAAGTTCCTTCTCCACCAGACTTAGTGGTGACTATAATGTCACCACGCCCTTTGCATGGACCAGATCGAGCAACTATTTTGTTTTTACTTTTCCACTCAGCTGAGAGTAAGCAATCACACCCACATATTTTCAAACCTGAAAATTGAAATATTAATAGTACAAAGACCCATGCAAAATTAGATGATAAATATTTTTATTGATGTAAGTATCACAAACATACCAATCAAATCTATTGCACTTGTTCCTAGAAATTCTCCTCTAATAGTGACTCTAGTTCCCGGTGGTCCCTCTTTAGGTGAAATACCAGTTACAACTGGGGGTGGACCCATATTCTTGGACTTCTCCTAAAATATTGGTAAAATGTGACTAACTGCACAAGTATCTATTATATATTTTACACTCTATCTCCTGTTGCCTTGAAATTCTTGAAATAAGTAGGTAATACTGAAAAACTACACTGAAAAACTGAAGATGTGAGTCGCTCGCAAATTCGCGATTTTTATTGATTTTTTGATTTGACATTTCATTTTTTTTTCACATAAACTTCTATAAAAATACAGCTATGGGTAAAATAAAATCGGCTAAATCATCTGTGGTTTTTATTCTTTGACAAAGCTTACCGATTCGATTATGTTCAAATTACTTCACTAAATAAAAAACTATAGTTAAACTCTATGGTTTTGCTATCACTCATTCATTAAAAAAAAAAATCACTCATTCATTCACTTCACAGATCAATCGTTCATGGATCAACCATTCGTCGATCTTTAACTCATTAATTGATCATTCACTCATTTTACTGTCAAAGTGGGGATGACCAAAATTTGGGAGACAGGGTTTATTTTGGGGGCGTAAAAATAAATTTAAACACATATTTTATGAGATTATGTATGCAATTGAATAATTATTGCATATTTACACATTTTTCGACATGGCGCAGTCCCAATTCAGGTATGTTATTATCAAGCTTTGATCAAAATAATGGTAGCATGTCGTGGTATTATTTTGATTTTATTTCATTTTAAAACTTTTAGCTCTGTTGATGAATATGGTTTTGAGCGGCACGATGATTTCGACTTCGAAAGCTACGAAGATTTCATGTCAGTGTACCTGAAAGTTCTCGCTACGCGAGCACAAAAATGGGCTGTGCTGCTTGGGGAAGGAAAGTCGGTCAAACGCACAAACACCGTCAAAAGATATGTTCGCAAAGGTGTTCCCAGTAAGTACATAGAGCCATATCAAATTTATAGTTATTAGTCATCACAGTAAATTGAATTTGGTGTCAATTTCTTACATTCAATAGTGACTGATGTGGATGTTTCAATGTTTTGTAGGTGAACATCGTCCTTCAGTGTGGATGGCCATATCAGAGGCTGAAAAGATGAGGGAACAACACCCTGACTTATACCAAAAGATATTGGATGGCCCATTCGAAAAAGAGCTGGTAGACCTGGTTAAAACTGATTTGCCACGCACTTTCCCTGATAACATTTTTTTTACAAAGGAAGCTAACCACCAAACACATCTATTCAATGTTTTGATTGCATATGCACACAATAACAGAGTGGTCGGTTATTGTCAAGGGCTGAATTACATTGCAGGTAATAAATCAATTAAAACATAAGATTTTTGTTAAGAAACCTAAGTTCCTAATATCTTTTTAATTACAATTAAGTTTAATGTATTGTATTAATGTTTATTTAGCTTAATGACACACCTAACTACACAAAGTAATTAATTTTAAGTTTGTCCATGTGTGTGTGAACTGTGAATGTTCAACATCAATCTTTTTTCTTCCCATTTAGGTTTACTGCTGCTGTCTACAAAAAGCGAGGAGATTTCATTCTGGCTTCTCAAAGTGCTAGTTGAAAAAATTCTGCCTGACTATTACACCAAAACTATGGATGGGCTTATTGTGGACATTGAAGTGTTATCAGAGCTAGTCAAATCTAAAGTACCTGATGTTCACCAGCATGTGATAAACCTAGGTATGTTCACTTTGATAAACACAGCCAACTTGATAACACTAGATTGTTTTGATTAATGGCTCAATTAGTTCAATTTATTTTTAATCATACATTGTGCTAACCTGCCAGTGCTATTCTTTTGTATAATTTTTAATGTACCTACTTATATTTCAGGTTTACCTTGGGCTGTTATTACCACAAAATGGTTCGTGTGTTTATTTGCTGAGGTCCTGCCCATAGAAACAGTTCTAAGAATATGGGATTGCCTCTTCTACGAAGGATCAAAAATCCTATTCCGAGTTTGCATAACTCTGATCAAAGCAAACCGAGCTGAGATTATGGCTTGCAATGATTTTACATCACTGGCAGAATGCTTCAAAGCTATTGTTAAGAATGCCAGTGCCCTGCACTGCCATGAATTTATGCAGGTAAGACACCAATGATTATAATTATTTAATTCAATTTTAAAATGCCCTCCTTATAGTGTCTGTACTGACTTGGTTGAACAACTCTTAATTAAATGTCAATTAAATTGACCCTTGCTTCTTTGCTCCCAATTAGAGTGAAGCTGTATAGTGCATCTGTACTAATATATTTTTAATTTCTTTTTTAGTCAATTTTCAAAGTACCTGGGACCTTGTCCAACACTACAATTACTAAGTTGAGAGCGCGCTTCGCGAAGCAGCGCCGCGAACAGCAACAGAAAGAGCCTCCTCGATGAACTAACTAAAGCATTTTGAAGATTTGATCTCATTCTTACTACCAAACAAGCATAATTATTACTACTTATTTTGTTACACTCTGTTAAAACTCCATCTTGCAAATATTAATACAAGTTTACTGAAAAGAACAAAATATGAACAAAATGAAACCAAATATAAATAAAAGTTCTCAACAAAACCACTACTAGTTTTAACATTCCTGTCGCAGGGATTTGATTGACTAATAGTAGAGTCAATAATTTGTAAAGATAATAGTTTTAATATTAATCTTATTGAAAAATACCTACCTTGTATTTGGATTTTTCTGTGAGCTTATATTAGAAAAAATACTATAATGAAAATCTGCAATGTTTGATTTAGTGAAAAAGTGTTCAAGTCTAATATAGACCTTGATTTTTCATAACATCTTTTTGAAACTATGTACGTACTTTCTACTACTATATTTATATACTATCTAAAGTAGGTATACAAAGAGTGCTGAGCTTGCATGTCTATACAGATTTTATGAAAATTTGTGTAACAATTTGTTATTTTTAAAAAAATAATATACACAAAAATAAAACAATCTTCAAATCATAAAATGTTGTTAGTTATTAATATTATTATTGAATTATTTAGGGATCAGTATACGTTAGTTTCTGCGTAGCATTCAAGTATTAATATAATGTATTAATTAGATTTTTATTTTTCGATTTACAATAATAGTTTATTATTTCTATGCAAATTGAGATAAACAGTTTTCCTGTAAAATTCAATTACTTATAGAGAAGGGTAATGTTTATTGTTACATTGATCTATCTTTTTAAATCATAATCTTATAAGTACTTGCATGTTTGTTAAAAAATGACATTAATTTTAATAAAATCCTCACAGTATCTAATTGTAATAAGTATGTAATTTTAGCAGAGACTAATATTATGTGGCAAGTGAGAAAAAAATAGTACATATATTTTCCTTTTTTCTGTGACCTAGCCTTTGACAATAAACCTTGCATATCTGTATGTTAGCATCATAGCATGGTCCTGATATAGGGTAAACCAGAGAGTGATTGCCCACTGGTAGTAATTGCCCGCTTTAAGAATAATATTGTCAGGTGCTGACTTTGAATCACTCTAGTTATATTTGAATTTACTAAGTAGATGGCTCCGAGATCAATGAACAGTAGATTTAAAATTTACAATAGGAAACACTAAAGAAAAACAGTCATGGCGGATTTTGCCAAGACGGGTGAAAATGTTACTCAAACAGGTAAAGACTTTAACAATTTTACTAAGGAATTACTTGCTTAGAGGTTAAATTTTTTTTGCAAGTTATTTAATATTCAACTAATGGTGTATAGTTATGATGAAATTATAAGTGTTTTCTCCATTATCAATGAAAATAACTGATAAAATTTGATTTCTAACGGTCATTTTAACGGTGGGTAATCACTGCACGTAAATCTGTATATTTTTAGTTATTGCCCACCATCATTTCAGTTATTGCCATATGTTAATGTATAGTTATTGCCCAGGGCAATTATTATTAGAGTGTTGCCACCATGCAGTAGCAGTGTTTAAGTTGCTCATTGCTAGACTTGTTTTGCAATTTACAGGCATAAATATTGAAATGGCTTTTAATGTTTCATTTTCAGTATGCCAAAGACTCCAAAAGTTCAATATAGCATAGAAAATTTGCAAAAAGCGATCGAAGCTGTACAAGATGTATCCAACAATTTATCTACAAGATAAATTGCTGAAAAATATGGTTTGGCTTGAAAAAATTGATAAAAATTCAAACGCAAATACAAAAAATGAAAATCCTACGTTAAATCTACTAGTGAAAATGTTAATTGTAAGGAAATAGATACAACTTTAGGGAAGAATAACCAACAGCTAATTGAACATTCTGAGCAACCACTTGAACTGATATCAAAGAAGATAAAAAAATAAATACATATAAAATTTACATATAAAATTCAAATTTTTGCGTCATCTATGTTTTGAAGTAGATGATTCTGTCTCTACCGATTCTGACTCATCAACATCAGCTCAAGAAATATTTGATAATATGTTAATAAGGCCAAACGCAATTTATTTTGAAATTTTGAAGACTGTACTACTAGAATTTAAGTTTAATGTTTTGTTTTGTTTATTTAAAGCCTATTTTGTCATTTTAAAATTGATTATTTTGTTTTAAGATACTGGGCAATTACTGTGCTTTGATGTGGGCAATTAGTGTAAGTAATGGGCAATGACTGTACTTTTTGGAGGATTTTAAATTTATTTCAATATTTTCTAAGTTACGTAAGTTTTAACTAAAAACTGTTAATATTCTGTTTAACAGTTTATTGAGTTATAAGAAAAAAGTCATAAATGGTCGATAATTAAAATACTTTCTTTAATTTTTCATCTCAATGTATTTGAAATCTTTAAGTGGGCAATAGCTATACGGTTTACCCTACATATTTATTGTTAGGCATAGTTATTAATTGTTGCTCAATGTAATTTTTTGCTATATAAAATTTGTTATTTTTACTATTTAAAATATTTTTCGCTTCTTGTTGGCCAGGTAGGAGAAACTATGTCTGGTTGGTCAATGTGTAGGTTTAGGGACTTCATGTGTAAGGTCTGTTACTCTACAATAGCCCTCAGCACATTAAAACTTTAAGATAGCTTTACATTATGTAATATTATTTTTGTAATTTTCATTCTTTGAAGTTGGTGTGTATAAGATTAAGAATTTTGTATGCTGCTGCCCAAGTTGATTCACTGTGCTAAGAGTAATGTAATGCCATAATATCTGTTTAAATGTGCGTAAATGAAAATAGACTATTGAGATGTTAATGAATTTTATTTATTCTACCTTTTTTGTATTTACAGATGATTGCTGGGGATCTATTCAATCACTAAATTAACAGCTACAAATTATGTCTATGCAATATGTTTTATGATTTTCCACTTTCTAGAACATCCTTGGCCTCATTGATTTTTGCAGCAATTAAGGGTGATCCCCCTCTATCTGGATGATTCAATAACATAATTTTTCTGTGGGCATCTCTTATCTGCAACAAACATCAAATAAGTTTAACAATGTATTTAAAACTAATATGCACATAAAACAATACTAAAACTGCCACTGAATAAAAATGTAATAATAATGTCATTTTGCATTCTCCTCCAATGAACTTTATGGCAAAACTATTACATAAATGTGGTACACAATAGTGGACGAATATGTATAAGGATGGATACTTATTCAGTCAAATGTAATGAAAGAAATTTTGTTTTTTACTCCAAAATCCATAATAATTATTACAAACCTTTGCTTTGTTTGCAGTAGGACTAACTCCTAATATTAACGCAGCTTCTCTTTTAGTCATTTTGGATTCGAAACCACCTTTGTAGTATTTAGAGGTAGCTAATGATTCAGCATCAAATTTTGGTAAATTTTTGACGGCTTCTGCAAACTTTGTTGAAGCATTGGGCACCTGCCTGATTATGTATCGACCGGCAAATCCGACTGCAGCCATTCCCAGACCGGCTAAAATGATTGAGCTAGCCTGTAATCAGCAACATCTTATGAGTAAAATTTAAATAAAGTGGTGTAAGAATAAATAAGGTTATGAGTGGTACAAACCATGTTTACTTATTTTTTTTAATATTGTATCAGATGTGCATTAAATCTGAATAAATAAATCCTTCATATTTTTAATAAAAACCAATTGAAGACGTAACTTATTTGGATAAAATTAGTTTTACTGTTTTCCAAAATTTCACTGACAACTATTGCGCCATGGTGTTGTTTTTAATTTTGACAGATAGTTGACAGGTTTACGCAGTGTAGCCATTGTATTTAAAATTAGTTCCCAAAAAAATTTTACGTCGAATTCACTTCCATTCCACTCCACCACATTACACGTGGTAAAAGCTAGCTGATTCTAGCCAAAGTTTATGTTACTTTGCATATTAAGGACTTACATTGACTGTGTCGTTAAACTACACACAACAATCCTTACATTACGTTACATTTTTTAATACCAGACTATTTTTCAATAAAAGAAAGAAATCCGAAATTATGTAGATTCATACTGAGTAGTTATTGTAGCACTCAATTAAAGAGAAGACCAAAATATCTAGAAAAATTATGTTCAATTACATTTAAGAAAAATTCTCCACGTTAATTAATTTCTCCCCGCTTCACGGGGAATTTCCTTAATAGGCCAACCCTAAGTTTTTTTTTTTAATAAAAATACACTTTGAGTAAATGGAATTTGGTCCTTTAAAAAAACCGGTACTGTAGTTTATCAACTAAATCGATTATATCTAGAACATCACTATGGCCGTTACGCACAAAATGATACTGGCAACCCGTAAAATGCAAGCAGCCAACCAAATAAAGTTACGAGAAAAAAAATTATGCCTTTTCGAAGTGGTTCAACATGGCAGGAGATCAGGCGCAATTTTACCAGTTACTAAATAGCTTACTATCGGCAGATAATGACATCCGATCGCAAGCAGAAGTGAGTACTAATATATTATAATTAAATTCTTAACTTTTTGTTGTAAAAATTGTCTTCAGAGTAGTATTATTTGACAAAAACTTTTGTGGTGGCCTCGTGTCAAAACGTGGTCATGGAGGAGGCGCTCCGATTTATGTATTTAGAAGTAATAGTAAAGTAGTATTCCATAAAAATACCAGATGCTACCTTTTTTATTTCTATTTTTGTTAAAATTAACTGATAAAAGTATGTAGAGTGAAGGTTCCCACAGATTGCTGTTCTGTTGGTACGAGGTTTGCATGTGGTTCGCCGGGATTTCAGTACATATTTCAAATTGTAATATCTAGTAGCATTTTTTATCTTAGTAATATGTACTAAAATGATTATAATTTTAGACCTAGGTATCAGAAAGGTACTTATCAATCTAGAGATAGAGATGACAATCACGATAATATCGAACAAGTACATACCAACCTCGATTTGTATTTAGCATTCAAGGTCAAGTTCATCATTACTGACTGATTTATAAATATGTGCTATGTATGTGGTCGAATTTAAAAAAAAGTCATAATTATGCTAAGTTATTTGTTAATATCCAATGAATGTACCTAATAACCTATAGCATCTCATCTCATCATCAGTTTCTAATTTATAAATCCTTAGGGGGTTATATTACAGGACTGATTTATACCTTACAACTGAGGAATTATGATTAGCTTTCACAGTATCTCTGTCCCATACAATGTTGTGCATTCAACATAGTGGCACAATTTAAAATGTATAAATAAAGCACCTATCTCATGCACTATTTTAAATTAGAATAATAGTGCACTCAAAGTACAATGTGTTGCACTAGTTACACAAGGTTCTAAGTAAATATGTAACTTAGAATGGTTTTACCCTTTGACCATTTGATTAAATAAAATCACTTGCGGTACCATACTTAAACTACCTTGTGGTTGCAGTTGAAGGTTAGGCACTAGGCTAGTCCAATTAACTATTCAATCAATATAAACTCTATTTTGAACTTGTAATTTTATGTATAAGAAATGTGAACAATGTGTATTTTTTAATAGTGGTATACATGTACTGTTGGTGTACCTTTCTAAATAAATAATTTGTTGTACAGGAAACATACAACAACATCCCCACCGAGACAAAGGTGTTGCACTTAGTGGGAGCCATCCAGAATGTGGAGCTCGGCGACGACGGCCGCCAGTCGGCCGCGGTGTTCCTGCGACGGCTGCTCAGTACAGAGTTCTTCGAGTTCTTCCCGAAGCTGCCGGTGGAACAGCAGGCAATGCTGCGGGAACAGCTCCTGCTCACACTGCAAATGGATGTCAGCCAGCAGTTGAGACGCAAGGTTTGTATTTTAATTCAGAAACTAAAATAGAGCATTAAGTAGTCACTGGTGGCTGGTCCAAAACCCTCATATTATGTTCAGTTGGTATTTTCAGATTCTTTCTTATAAATATTTTGATTAATTCTGCTTGCAAATTGACCTAACTTCATGTTCTTGTTTTCATTAAACATCAACTGTCATAATCATAAATTGCATGCTTTCACAACATTTTTGTTTAGTGGTTAAAAAGGTGATGGGCTTTTGGAAAGTATAAATGGTTTTCTAGTCGGCCCGTGTGTCCCTACGGCGGCTTATGCTGCACAGCGCGAAGACGTTAGGGTTGTTCCCAAAATTACCGCTTGTGCAGCAGAAAATGATCACTGAACAAATGCTCCATACAATGCAGACTGATGTCAGCCAGAACCTTAGAATTGAGGTTTGTCGGTTGTCTGTGTGTGCATGAAGATGATTGCAGTTTTATTGCACAATACACTAATACAATTTTGCATTATTGTGTAACAGCTGGGTTTTTTAACATGTGTGTTTATTCTTTAACTCTAATCAAATCATACAATCAGTATAAGCCAAATGATTCAGTAATAAATTGTTAATGATAGAGTTCAACCCTGTAAAAAGTTTAGTTGAAACTAGAACTAGTAATATAAATAAACACAGTAGCACTAGTGATTCTAATTTCGTATTCTGACTCACAAAGAGTGATTCAGGCAAAGGCTCTCAAATTTTGTTAGATTGTGAGATAATTACATGATTCATCCATTATGAATGTGAATAATCCAGTACAACTAGGCAATGTTTGTACAAGGCAATCCAGTAAAAAACTGGCTGAATGTTTTTTCTTTTTTTTATCTTTATAGGTCAATATTTTTTCTCCCATCTTTTGCACCATACCCATGTGCTAAGATAATAAAAAACGCACTCAATAGGAGCAGAAAGTAAAACCTTGGGGTTGTTTCTTACAATTTACGAATTTATTGTTAAATTCTTAGGGAGTCACATCCATTGTAAAGTTCTTTAGAAAGAAGATGAATAAACTTATACAATATTGTGTGTTGGAGCTACTGGCAGCTGAAGGATGTCCTCATAAAAATAATCAATATTGTTGAATAGTTTAAAGGTCTCTTCTATTAATACATTGTCTGTGCCTCTACTGATCAATAAGCTAACTAACCTTGATTGAAAGCTTTTAAACTAACTATAGGAGTTAATAACATCATTGTTTACGTTTGAGAAGTGCTTGTTGCGGGAGGTGCGATTTATTCGATGCCGAGTGTAGATATTTACTATTTATGTATTCGTCATTACAGTGAATAAGAAACAAGTTTTTTGAAATTCCTTAATATGGCTTTTTATAACTTTTTGAACATTAAATAAAAAGCCGTTATTATTTTAGGCCATTGTATTGATATTTACCTCAAAAGATTAATGTATTTCATTTTATAATAGGAAATTGTCGTAGTTTTTAAATATCCGGTATCCGGCCGGATAGTGAGCTACTATCCGGTATCCGGCCGGATAGTAAATTGAGGCCGGATATCCGGCCTACCGGATAGTTACCGGATATCCGTTTCATCTCTAATCATTGTTCCTAATAAAACGTTTTTTTCTTGTTTTAGATTTCTGATGTAGTATCAGAGTTAGCCAGAAACCACATTGACGACGATGGTGTCAACCAATGGCCCGAATTTCTACAGTTCATGTTCAACTGCGCTGCTTCACAAGACTCCAACATGAAAGAGGCTGGCATTCGGATGTTTACGTAAGTTAATATAGGTTTAAATGCTCAAGCCAGTTTATTATCTGAATGTTTATACATGATAGCTAGTAATCACTCAAAAGTGTCATGGTACTGGCTATCAATTTACTCATTTTAATTGCACATGAACTGTGATAGACTTGAGATAAACTTATGATGTCAGATCAACATTGGGTGTCTATTTTAGGAATGCTGAAATAGTTACAATCAGTAAGCCGCTTCTCCATAGATTAAATAATTATCACTGTATTCTCAATTTTTTTCTGACATGAAACCCAAAAACGAACTTATAAAATGTCAAATAGAAATCATTCTTATACCTTAATAACCCAATTACATAATTATTCTTGTTTCCAAGTTACAAGAAACGTTTTATTTCCATAGGTCTGTGCCAGGTGTGTTTGGGAACCGTCAAAATGAGAACTTGGACGTTATCAAGCGTATGTTGCTCTCGGCCCTACAGCCGACCGAATCCGACGCTCTGCGCATCCAGGCCGTCAAAGCCGTGGGCGCGTTCATCCTGCTACACGACAAAGAACCCGCCATCCAGAAACACTTCAGCGATATTCTGCTGCCATTGATGCAGGTGTGTCTCAAATTTAAACTTTAGTTCATGCAAATAGCACACAAATTACGTGCGCATCTGTCTATGAGATGTGTTACTGCCAGATTGTGCAATAGCAACTTGAGATTTTCGCTAACACCACTCTTTTTATAAGATGGAGTTTGATAGTACCTCTCAATACATTGTTTTAAAAGTTACTAATGTAATTCATTACTTACAACAAAATATTACAATGCATTTATTTTCTTTACCAGGTGGTGGTGCAGTCCATTGAGAAGTGTGAAGATGACTCAGCCCTCAAGGTGCTCATTGAATTGGCAGAATCTGCACCAAAATTCTTAAGGCCACAGCTCGAAACCATTTTCCAAGTCTGCATAAAGGTAAATATTTTTAACATCTATGTATAGCCTAGCTTACCAGTATCAAGACAGAATATTGGTCATGTTCAATCAAATGTGAAGCAGTATTTTTTGGCAGGGATCTTGAGCGCCAAAAACGTTCATGTTATTTTAACAAAAATGTATTCTGTAAACCTATATTCGAGGAAAATATCCAAATATTGCAGAAACGACGTGTGAATTTTTCAACAGCTCGTGTATGCGCCAGCCGCCTCTGTAAATGTAAACTATGATATTCAATGCCGTTTATCCAGTCGAAAAAATGAGTGATATACTGCCATGTGAGCAGAATCTAATACATAGAGTGCTCTGATCGTTACCAGCTATTGTAGACTCCTAGATTATATCATCGCTCGGTTACAGGTTGTGGGTGAGACCGACGCCGAGGACACGTGGCGGCAGCTGGCTCTAGAGGCAATGGTGACGCTGTGCGAGACAGCACCGGCGATGGTGCGCAAGCAGGTGCCCAACGCGGTGTGCCTGCTCACGCCGCTCGTGTTAGAGATGATGTGCGAGCTGGACGACGAGCCCGACTGGGCGCTGCAGGACGACGTCGCCGATGATGACAACGAGAAGTAAATTGATTGTCTTTTGTTTATGCCCAAAACTTTTTTAATGTTTGTCGTTTTTTGTATATGGACAGATCTCAAACGCGTTTGAAGTAGTTTTTTCTATATTCCAGAAGTTGTATGATGAAATATGTCTATGTACTTGGTGAACATATTTCGACTGCACATACCAGTGCTAAATCACGTCACAGTCATTGGCCTTTTTAAGGCAGGAAGTACGTGTTTAGAATTCGCAAATAGTTTATAATGAGTTGATTAACTAAACGCCGATCGGATGATATCAAAATTACATTCTATTTGAAATTTACTGTTTGAAATTATTTTAATTAGTGAAATAAACAATGGCCATCCACTTCCGTCTNTTCCGTCCTAAGTTTATGCAAATGCAATCATTAACCGCCTCGTAGTAAGGTTCTGTTTTTTGGCTTCATTTACTATAGTGAAGGCGTGGAGAATCTTACAAAATTAATAACGAGTTAATTAACATCCTTGCTGTTCTATACATTAGGATGTCAGTCCCTCGCTAACATTAACATTGTTCACATATCCCTGTTGTTTATACCGTGAGAGCAATTTTTAATGTTCGGTATTATTTCAGCAACTACGTAGCAGCGGAGTCGGCGCTTGACCGTATGTGCTGCGGCCTAGGCGGCAAGATCATGTTGGGGCTCATCGTAGGCCAAGTTCCCGAGATGCTGAACTCTGAGGACTGGCGACGGCGCCACGCCGCACTCATGGCTGTCTCCTCAGCCGGCGAGGGGTGCCACAAGCAGATGGAACAGATGCTCGACCAAGTCGTCTCTGCTGTGCTGAAGTACCTGGGTGACCCTGTAAGTAGACTTGAGAAAGTTTCTTTGATCCTCATTATAAAGTATTAAGACAGTGCAACTACTACCAGTCAATTGACATACTTTCTGTATGCCAATGAGGGTTTTCGCGATTGAAAAATCCGCCAGATGGCGGGACGCGGACGTGGGGTCCGACCGCTGCGTGATAGGTGGATTTTGACATATCTGTCAATGTCATGTCAAAAATAACCAATCACGCAGCATCTGGACCCCGCGTCCAGTATCGCCATCTGGCGGATCCTTCAATCGCGAGAACCCTCATTGACTTGATGTCGAAGTTACGAAAAATCAAATTTTTACACCAAATGGAATACTTAGTGGATTTTTAGGGCTAGAATAAAGTGATATTTTATGCAAAACTGTTAATGGTGTCAACTATACAATATTAATCTTACATTTGTCTGAACTGTGAATTTTTTGTGTATGTACTTGTAAATAAATATAACAGATTACTTTTTGTCCCTAGCATCCCCGAGTTCGCTACGCAGCGTGTAACGCGATCGGACAGATGTCGACTGACTTCGCTCCCATTTTTGAGAAGAAATTCCACGACAAAGTTGTGCCTGGGCTTCTTATGGTGCTCGACGACAATGCTAACCCGCGTGTGCAGGTAATTAACGGCTTTGTAATCCTTTAGTATGACAACGATATAATATCTTTTCTGCATATTTATAAATACTTGTCTGTCGTCACAGGCGCACGCGGCTGCTGCTTTAGTAAACTTCAGTGAAGACTGTCCAAAGCCAATTTTGACCCAGTACCTTGACCCACTGATGAACAAGCTGGAAGTTATCCTTACTGCCAAATTCAAAGAGGTGAGTTCGAAACATAAGTTCAGTAAGTTTCCCCAATGTTCGTTAGTGATACTACTTCATTATGGTTATGTCACTTCCATAACATTGGAATAGTGAGCGTGTCATTTGCTCCCTTACTTACCCTCTTTATGGAAAGTCAGGGATCTCAGATCACGCACATATGTTTAAAACAAATTGATTTTAGCTTTTCAAAGTAAAAGATGGTAGAGAAGTTAAATAATACGCACGCACCTATATTACAGCTTCAAATAAAATGCATGAAAACACACTTATTTCATAATTAAAACTAAAGCCTGGTCCGTGAGCACGTAGAATCTCGTCCAATGACCCCAAGCTGCCCATCCTAGTCGCTCGCACGTAATTATGTTGCTGTCGCGCTCGCACACTCACTGCGGGCGCGCGTCGCACAGTCGCGACAGCAATATAATTACGCGCGAGCGATAAGGATGGTTAGCTTGGGGTCATTGGACGGGATTCTACGTGCTCACGAACCAGGCTTTAATTAGATTCAAAGTAGCGTGTCATGTTGTAATATAAAGGTGAGGATTATTTTGTAGAGCGATATACATGAGTATACTCGTTGTGCAGCTGGTGGAGCGCGGCACCAAGCTGGTGCTGGAGCAGATTGTGACCACCATCGCGTCGGTGGCCGACACCGTGGAGAAGGACTTCGTCGTGTACTACGACCGCCTCATGCCCTGCCTCAAGTACATCATCGCCAACGCCACTACGGACGAGCTGAAGCTGCTGCGAGGGAAGACCATCGAGTGCGTCAGTCTTATTGGTGAGTTACTTCTACTTGGCCATGTGGTTTCAATGTCACTATGAAAATACATGTGTGTCTCTTGAATCGATCCTTTGCGCCTTAAGAGCACTTTCACATTTAGCAACTGACGCGCTGCCGAAAATTTCAGACTATGTGACAGCGGATGCATGCCTTCACATAATAAAAACGCCGCTGCCGCGCTGCAGTCGCGCTACTAACACCCTAATGTGAAAGCGCTCTAAGTTATTCACATATCCAAACATCTATTGCCTTTTTAAAAAGTTTAGTGAGTAATTTTTGTAAGTTGTCTATTCTTGTTTTCTTTTCCCAATGTTCGTTAGCGATGAACTTTTCCTATGGGTACATCACTTCCATAACATTGGAATAATAAATGTGGCATTTGCTCCCTTTCTTGCCTAACTGTGGGAAGTCAGGGATCTCAGTTCACATACAAAAGCATATTTTATCTAATAAATCTGATGCTTCTTTTTACATACAGTTGAATTTTTTCTATTCACTCAATATATCACCGTCGTCGATGTTAAAACTGCTATAAATTAAATACCGTCGAATCTATAAACATGATTGCACGTGTCGAATTGCGATGTTCCTATTGTGACACGTGAACGTTATCATTACTGCTGCAAACTTGATATTTCCATCCATTACTCTACATTGTTGGATGTAGGTAAAATTATCAGTATTGACATGTCTGACCCATTTGAGTATGACGCCCGGTTGGTGAAGTGATTTCCTTGCCTTTATTAGTCATAAGCCAGAAGTCGTTGGTTCGATTCCCGCACAATGTAAACATGAAGCAATCAGATCGGTGATTACTATGTATAATTATGTATGTATTTACAAAAAAAGTACTTATTATAATTTATTTATGTCTTTTACTTTGCAGGCTTGGCCGTGGGTGAAGAGAAATTCATGTCCGACGCGTCCGAAGTTATGGACTTGCTGCTGAAGACTCACACGGAAGGCGAGCAACTGCCCGTGGAGGACCCACAGACCTCATACCTCATCTCGGCGTGGTCCCGCATCTGCCGCATCATGGGCAAGAAGTTCGCGCAATACCTGCCGATGGTGATGGAGCCGGTTATGCGAACGGCCGCCATGAAGCCTGAGGTGGCGCTGCTCGATAATGAAGACCTGGAGTCCATTGAGGGCGACCTCGACTGGCACTTCGTCACGCTCGGCGAACAACAGAACTTCGGCATCAAGACTGCCGGTAATTTTCTCTTTTATACTGCATTTTCTTGTCATTACAATACAAATACAAATAATTTATTGAATTTAAAACATACATTAACATTTACACTTGTATACCTTAACTAATACAGAAACAAAAAACAAACGGTGAACATTTTTGCCGACTACCGTCAACACCATTCATTTCAGTCACCTTTAACCTTTTTAATACTTGGTTTATCATCACTGTTGCTAATAGCACACAAATTACGTGCGCATTTGTCTATGAGATGCGTTACTGCCAGATTGTGCAATAGCAACTTGAGATTTTCGCTAACACCACTCTTTAATAAGATGGAGTTTGATAGTACCTCTCAATACAAATTCTTTGCCAATTAACCTTTAGGGAGCAAATTCCAAAGCCACACATCAAGTGCAAATGAATTGAAATTGCTTCTCACAGCACACAACTATCATCGGCTCCTAGCGATGAGAATGAGATCGTGAAAATTGTGTTTTTTCGATTATGTATTGCTCATCAGTAAACTTATTTTTTGTAGTGTGCAATAAACAATCTTCTATCTTTCTCCCCCAGGCTTGGAAGACAAAGCATCCGCCTGCGACATGCTGGTGTGCTACGCGCGCGAACTCAAAGAAGCGTTCGCGGAATACGCCGAAGACGTGGTCCGACTAATGGTGCCGATGCTGAAGTTTTACTTCCACGACAACGTGCGCACCGCCGCCGCCGAGTCGCTGCCCTACTTACTGGAGTGCGCTCGCATCCGCGGCCCGCAGTACATCCAGGGCATGTGGGCCTACATCCTGCCCGAGCTGCTCAAGGCCATCGACGCGGAGCCCGAGCAGGACGTGCAGGTGGAGCTGCTGAACAGCCTGGCCAAGGTAACTCGATCTCTATGGCTCACGTGTTAACGTGCGCCCGCGCCGCGAGTCGTTGCCCTACTTACTGGAGTGCGCGCGCATCCGCGGCCCGCAGTACATCCAGGGCATGTGGGCCTACATCCTGCCCGAGCTGCTCAAGGCCATCGACGCGGAGCCCGAGCAGGACGTGCAGGTGGAGCTGCTGAACAGCCTGGCCAAGGTAACTCGATCTCTATGGCTCACGTGTTAACGTGCGCCCGCGCCGCGAGTCGCTGCCCTACTTACTGGAATGCGCGCGCATCCGCGGCCCGCAGTACATCCAGGGCATGTGGGCCTACATCCTGCCCGAGCTGCTCAAGGCCATCGACGCGGAGCCCGAGCAGGACGTGCAGGTGGAGCTGCTGAACAGCCTGGCCAAGGTAACTTGATCTCTATGGCTCACGTATTAAGCTTCAACCACACCAACTTGTGCAGATCGCCATCACCAGCGCGATCATAGGCCAATGTCAAGTCGCGCGACTAATCAAGTGACCTGTGACTTGTGCACACGCCGCCGAGTCGCTGCCCTACTTGCTCATCCGCGGTCCATAGTACATCTACGGTTAAACCTAAGAAGTTAAGACCTAAACATGAGAGTAGATTTTATACCGAGTTTTAACGGGGGCACGCATTTGATTAAAAAAAATCTGGCCTACATGAAATTCACGCGATTACCGATACTTTCGCGTCCTGCGCCTATGATAAGATAAGAAGTCATAAACTGTTTTCTTATTTCTGCATAAAGCCAGAATGTGTACTGTTAGAGGGCGGTAGTATCTATTCTTATAAATAAAACACTGGATACTTTCACATTATATTGCCTTATTTTACATGCAATTCATCACTCGACACAAAAGCGCGCGGAGTCGTCCACGCGCGTCCCTCCATTCAGACGTTTCTAGTGTGACATTGACATTACGTCAATATCACTGACAGCAGCTCATGGGTTATAACGTTACCGTTATTTTAACGTTTTCGGTTTTTCACAATGAACAGTACTAATAATAGTTTCTATTTGCAGTGCATCGAGCTGCTGGGCGCGGGCTGCCTGTCGGAGGAGATGATGGCGGAGGTGCTGCGCATCCTTAACAAGCTGCTCACCGAGCACTTCGAGCGCGCCACCGAGCGCCGCCAGAAGCGCGCCGACGAGGACTACGACGAGGTAACATACTTCTCAACTCATACCCATAGCCATCGGCATAAGAGTAAGCGCACACCGTTGATTTTTCGTCGGCCAATAGTTTAGTCGGGCAGTTGATCAGTATGGGAGTGCGCACACTACGCCGATTCTATTTGGCCGATTCTTCATACAATTTAAAATCGGGCACAACTATCGGCCAACTAAAAATCAACGGTGTGCGCCTACTTTAAGGTGTATAGCATAGTGAGACTGAGTTTGGATTATCTAGAATGGAGTTATCTTCGATAAATGAATTTTCACGTCATTTGTTCGTACCTTATCCAGTGTTTGCTTCTACTTAGCTTACAAGGATATTCATTACAACTGTATTTTGATTATTTGGTTTATTTGAAACTGTACATCTGCTTTGTGTACAGTTTCAAATAAGTGAAGTTTCCGACTAGTCGATTGTCTAGTATTCTTACAGCATTACACACTGAACCATAATTAAATATTAATCTTTGTTCTGGAATTAAAAGCAGTTGTGGACAATGGACGCAAGCAAAATTCATTAAAATATGTCGTCGCCGACATTCATAAATGCGTAATGTATGCACTGCACGTTTGTTGCATTAATTCCGAACTTAGGACTTGTACAGACGTCACATGTAATTTTAATAAAAGCTATTTTGTTACAAAAATGTATGATTTGCTGTCGTTGTTTCCAAGGTCTACGTTTCTCAGACTGCTTCCATTATGGACTTGAAAACAAACACATTATGGGCCATGTAGACCTCGGCAATCGAGTAAGCAAGGATCATTTTGAATTTGCGGAAAGACCCAACTGTTTTCGTCGAAGAATATATTCACAAATGGACAATTTGACATCATTTCCCAATAATTCGAAATCACAACTTTTCTAAAAAGACACTTCATTCTGGTTTTAAAAACTTAATTAATTTTAAATTACCTGTAAATTACGATTTTTGGTCGCATTGTAATGAGGGTTTTCGCGAATGAAAAATCCGCCAGATGGTAGACGCGAGGTCCAAATGCAGCATGATTGGTTATCTTTGACATGACATTGACAGATATGTCAAAATCCACCAATCACGCAGCAGTCAGACCCCACATCCACGTCCCGCCATCTAGCGGATCTTTCATTCGCGAAAACCCTCATTGAAAAAAAATAGTTTATTTGAGTTGACAAAATAGTGACGTCACTTGCTTGTAGTGCCATACAAAATCTATGGGAGAGTTTCGTTTTGACATAAAAAGTACGTCAGTTGATTGGTGGTGTCAACACTTCTATTGTAATGTTTCCCAGGTGGTAGAAGAGCAGTTAGCCGACGAGGATAATGAAGACGTGTACGGGCTGTCGCGCGTGGCGGACGTGCTGCACGCGCTTNAACAGCCTCGCCAAGGTTCGTTTGGAATCGCTCTTCTTTTGTCTTATAATCGTATCGTTCTTTCGTTCGTTTCAGCCGAAAGACGTCCACTGCTGAACAACGGCCTCCCTCAAGGATTTCCACAAAGACCGGTTCGGCGCTCGTATCCAGGCACCTCCCGCAACCCTCACCAGATCGTCGGTCCACCTAGTGGGAGGCCTGCCCACGCTACCTCTTCCGGCTCGTGGTCGCCACTCAAGAACTTTTCTGCCCCAGCGGCCATCAGCTCTACGAGCTATGTGCCCTGCCCACTGCCACTTGATTTTAGCGATTCTGCGGGCTATGTCAGTCACTCTGGTTCTCCTACGTATAATTGAAGCAATTTTTATAAGGAAGGATTTGTTGGACTTTTTTACGAGTAATCACTGAACAGATTTTAATGGAATTCGGTGTAGATATCTTCAGACCCAGGCAAAACAAAAGGGGGACACGTTCGTCTTTCTGTGACAAGGAAATTCACACGAGTGAAGCTGGGATCAAAGACTAGATGTGCCGCTCTTCTCTCTGTTCCTGCTGCTGTTATAAAAGCAAGACACGTTTTGTTTTATTTTTAAAGATGATAAAGCGAAAACGTCGTAATTAAGCGTTGTTTATTTGCAGTGCATCGAGCTGCTGGGCGCGGGCTGCCTGTCGGAGGAGATGATGGCGGAAGTGCTGCGCATCCTCAACAAGCTGCTCACCGAGCACTTCGAGCGCGCCACCGAGCGCCGCCAGAAGCGCGCCGACGAGGACTACGACGAGGTAACATACTTCTCAACTCATACCCATAGCCATCGGCATAAGAGTAAGCGCACGCCGTTTTCGTCGGCCGATAGTTTAGTCGGGCAGTTGATCAGTATGGGCATGTATGGGAGTGCGCACACTACGCCGATTCTATTTGGCCGATTCTTCATACAATTTAAAATCGGGCACAACTATCGCCCAACTAAAAATCAACGGTGTGCGCCTACTCTAAGGTGTATAGCATAGTGAGACTGAGTTTGGATTATCTAGAATGGAGTTATCTTCGATAAACGAATTTTCACGTCATTTGTTCGTACCTTATCTAGTGTTTGCTTCTACTTAGCTTACAAGGATATTCATTACAACTGTATTTTGATTATTTGGTTTATTTGAAACTGTACACAAAGCAGGTGTTTGTGTACAGTTTCAAATAAGTGAAGTTTCCGACTAGTCGATTGTCTAGTATTCTTACTGCAGTACAATCTGGACCATAATTAAATATTAATCTTTGTTCTTGAATAAGCAGTTGTGGACAATGGACGCATGAAATATTCATTGAAATATGTCGTCACAGACATTCATAAATGCGTAATGTATGCACTGCACGTTTGTTGTATTAATTCTGAACTTAGGTAGGACTTGTACAGACGTCACAAGCAATTGGAATAAGAGCGATTTTGTTACAAAAAAATATGATTTGCTGTCGTTGTTTCCAAGGTCTACGTTTCTCAGACTGCTTCCATTATGGACTTAAAACAAACACATTATGGGCCATGTAGATCTCGGCAATCGAGTAAGCAAGGATCATTTTGAATTTGCGGAAAGACCCAACTGTTTTCGTCGAAGCATAAATACACAAATAGACAATTTGACACCATTCCCCAATAATTATCTTTGACATGACATTGACAGATATGTCAAAATCCACCAATCACGCAGCAGTCAGACCCCACATCCACGTCCCGCCATCTAGCGGATCTTTCATTCGCGAAAACCCTCGTTGAAAAAAAATAGTTTATTTGAGTTGACAAAATAGTGATGTCACTTGCTAGTGCCATACAAAATCTATGGGAGAGTTTCGTTTTGACATAAAAAGTACGTCAGTTGATTGGTGGTGTCAACACTTCTATTGTAATGTTTCCCAGGTGGTAGAAGAGCAGTTAGCCGACGAGGACAACGAAGACGTGTACGGGCTGTCGCGCGTGGCGGACGTGCTGCACGCGCTGCTGTCGGCGTACCGCGAGGCCTTCTTCCCGCACCTGGACGCGCTGCTGCCGCACCTCGTGCAGCTGCTGGCGCCCGGCCGGCCCTACGCCGACCGCCAGTGGGCCATCTGCATCTTCGACGACGTCATCGAGTTCGGAGGTGCTTGAACTGACTACCAGGCTACTGCTGGATATAGGTTTTCCTCGATCCGCGCGATAGGTGCCTTCGGCTTATCGCATCCGACTTCAGCCATCCTAGCGTTTAGCGTCATTCCATCTAACTGGAGTTCTATTCTATTGCTCAAGTTGTGGTCTGTACAAAATTCAATTTTTCATTCAACGTGTAGCCTTAGTAAGCTAGCTTCTTCCCTATATTTGTTACAGTCAAAACTCATAATCATTCAAAATCACTTTAGACTGCAAAAATCAGTCAAAGGTAGTTTTGATTGATGCTTTTGGTGCAATCTCCAAGGTCAATCTAGTCGCATTATGCTCGAATAGTATTAAGTGAACTTATTCGTAATCCAGTTCTCAAGATTATCCCTCATTTTAATGACAGTTCTTATAAACATCGTGTTAATAACGCCCACCCGTTTGCGTTCCCAGGACCCGCATGCGTGAAATACCAAGACATATTCCTCGAGCCGATGCTGGCGGGGCTGTCGAGCCCCGAGGTGGAGGTGCAGCAGGCGGCGGCGTACGGCTGCGGCGTGCTCGCGCAGTTCGGCGGCGGCGCCTTCGCGGCCTCCTGCGCGCGCGCCGTGCCGCTGCTCGCCGCGCTCGTGCAGGCGCCCGCCGCGCGCTCCGTCGAGAACCTCAACGCCACCGAGAACGCCGTCTCCGCCGTCTCCAAGATCATCAAGTACAACCACTCGCAGATCAACAGGGACGAGATCATAAGGCATTGGTGAGTNGGGCCATCTGCATCTTCGACGACGTCATCGAGTTCGGAGGTGCGTACACGTGGCTGTGTCATCACCAGCCTCTACTGAGGGCGGACGTACTACACGCGTGCTGTCGGCGTACCGCGAGGCCTACTTCCCGCACCTGGACCGTTGTTAGTATAGATAGATCCAGGATTGAGGTTATTTTAGCTATCAACATAGATTATCGGCCACTACTGATTAAAGAGCTTCTCTAATACGCGCCATTTTGCCGGCTTCGACATGTCACATACAGCTTCTGCCATAGATCTAGCGTCTAGCGTCACTCCATCTCTCTTGGGCGTCCAACTATTGCGGTCTACACATGACGTGATTAAATTTTTCATTTAGCTTCATTAGAAAGCAGACTTAGTGAAGTTACCAGTTACTAATGGGTTCTGCACAGAATTTATATCAGCTTATTCTACAATAAAGTAATCAGGCAGTTAAGAAAGCCCTAATAAGTTAGCAATTTCCATACATCATACTATCCTATCTATATTTTCTCCTTTCGTTCAAAAGTAATTTTCTAGCAGTGTAAATAACGCGCACCCGTTTGCGTCCCCAGGACCCGCATGCGTGAAATACCAAGACATATTTCTTGAGCCGATGCTGGCGGGGCTGTCGAGCCCCGAGGTGGAGGTGCAGCAGGCGGCGGCGTACGGCTGCGGCGTGCTCGCGCAGTTCGGCGGCGGCGCCTTCGCGGCCGCCTGCGCGCGCGCCGTGCCGCTGCTCGCCGCGCTCGTGCAGGCGCCCGCCGCGCGCTCCGTCGAGAACCTCAACGCCACCGAGAACGCCGTCTCCGCCGTCTCCAAGATCATCAAGTACAACCACTCGCAGATCAACAGGGACGAGATCATAAGGCATTGGTGAGTTTCTGTTGTTAGCGACTCCGAGTACAGTAGAATCCCGACTATCGCGGCGGCCTGCGCGCGCGCCTTGCCGCTGCTCGTTGTAATATTCAGCAATTTTCTGTACTGTGTTTTTTGCTTTTTATGAAATCTGACGTCAAGGCACAAGTCTGCTTTATAAATTTTAGTACTACAAGGAACTGATTGAAGAAAGTCTTCATGTAAACGTTTTTCTTCACACAGCATCATCCAGCTAGTCCTAAAATAAACATAGCTTCTATGGGTATCAGACAGAATAAAAAATGAGACCTACACCAAATTGGTCATCTAACAGCGTCATTGTAGTATGAGACTCCTTATTTACCGTCGGGAAATGCTTTACGCACCCACTGACCTAGGGTGCGATCAGTGAGTGATGGAATCCAGATGAGCGGGACCAATTTACCAAAAAAAGGACTGAGGCCTTCCTGCTCCTACATGGCCATACTCTTGTACCCTATTTATTCATCACTACGTTCCTTCCAGGCTGACATGGCTGCCGGTGGTGGAGGACACGGAGGAGGCGCCGCACGTGTACGGGCTGCTGTGCGAGCTGGCGGCGGGCGCGCACGCGGCGCTGGCCACGCCCGACGCGCCCGCGCACGTCATCGCCGTGCTGGCCGAGGCCTTCCTGCGCGACGCCGTGCCGCCCGACCACGCCGTCTACGCGCAGATGGTGCAGCTCGTGCGCCAGATACAGGTGCGTGGAGACTGTTTACATTGCTATTGTGTTGTGACGGGCTGCACGCGGCGCTGGCCACGCCCGACGCGCCCGCGCACGTCATCGCCGTGCTGGCCGAGGCCTTCCTGCGCGACGCCGTGCCGCCCGACCACGCCGTCTACGCGCAGATGGTGCAGCTCGTGCGCCAGATACAGGTGCGTGGAGAAGATCATCAAGTACAACCACTCGCAGATCAACAGGGACGAGATCATAAGGCATTGGTGAGTGTCTGTTGTTAGCGACTCCGAGTACAGTAGAATCCTGCGCGCGCGCCGTGCCGCTGCTCGCCGCGCTCGTGCAGGCGCCCGCCGCGCGCTCCGTCGAGAACCTCAACGCCACCGAGAACGCCGTCTCCGCCGTCTCCAAGATCATCAAGTACAACCACTCGCAGATCAACAGGGACGAGATCATAAGGCATTGGTGAGTTTCTGTTGTTAGCGACTCCGAGTACAGTAGAATCCCGACTATCGCGGCGGCCTGCGCGCGCGCCTTGCCGCTGCTCGTTGTAATATTCAGCAATTTTCTGTACTGTGTTTTTTGCTTTTTATGAAATCTGACGTCAAGGCACAAGTCTGCTTTATAAATTTTAGTACTACAAGGAACTGATTGAAGAAAGTCTTCATGTAAACGTTTTTCTTCACACAGCATCATCCAGCTAGTCCTAAAATAAACATAGCTTCTATGGGTATCAGACAGAATAAAAAATGAGACCTACACCAAATTGGTCATCTAACAGCGTCATTGTAGTATGAGACTCCTTATTTACCGTCGGGAAATGCTTTACGCACCCACTGACCTAGGGTGCGATCAGTGAGTGATGGAATCCAGATGAGCGGGACCAATTTACCAAAAAAAGGACTGAGGCCTTCCTGCTCCTACATGGCCATACTCTTGTACCCTATTTATTCATCACTACGTTCCTTCCAGGCTGACATGGCTGCCGGTGGTGGAGGACACGGAGGAGGCGCCGCACGTGTACGGGCTGCTGTGCGAGCTGGCGGCGGGCGCGCACGCGGCGCTGGCCACGCCCGACGCGCCCGCGCACGTCATCGCCGTGCTGGCCGAGGCCTTCCTGCGCGACGCCGTGCCGCCCGACCACGCCGTCTACGCGCAGATGGTGCAGCTCGTGCGCCAGATACAGGTGCGTGGAGACTGTTTACATTGCTATTGTGTCGTGACGGGCTGCACGCGGCGCTGGCCACGCCCGGCGCGCCCGCGCACGTCATCGCCGTCTACGCGCAGATGGTGCAGCTCGTGCGCCAGATACAGGTGCGTGGAGTTTCTATTGTATTGTCAAGAACTTTTTCGGCATCACGTGTTTTTAGGCTCGGTTTTCAACAAGGCGGAGCGGAGAAATGTTTTGAACGACCAATCAAATGTCATTCAGATTGAATAAAATATGATTGGTTATTCAAAACATTTCTTCGCTCCGCTTCGCCTTGGTGGTAGCCTGGCGTTACGTTTTGATGTCCAAATGAAACTCTTGTATAGCTCGCACAACGAATTTTGAGGCAAACCCATACAAAAGTTAGACAAAATACGCAAGACGTCAACGCGACTAGCACAAGACTGATACCGCTTGATCGTTTCAAATTTTGCTGCACGATCTATAAAATGAATTGATTTTATCTGAACGCAAGTCCTTGAATTCAGACCGATTTTCCGACGTCACTTGTTATAGATTTTTATTTATTTTTTTATTTTATTTTATTCGGATAACCAACAGCAATACAATACAAATAATGGGACCTTAAATTATGTATCTGCTCATTGTGATTGTGTCATATGACGTCGCGCGACGTCGTCATCAAACGTATGCTATGACTCCCAATCACTGAGTGGCATCATCAACCTTAAAAAAATTAATCATTACTTTTTTCTTTACAGGGCAATGCAGAACTCTTCAACTCGTGCCTCATGCAGCTAAGCAACGAACACAAAGAGGCGCTACAGTTGGCCCTGTCCACATAGTGGCCGCGCCGCGCTCCTCGTATTTATTGTCGCCACCCGACACCGCACCGCCTCACCCGCACCCACCACCCGTCGCCCTCCGCCCCGGCCGCCCCCCGACATCGCTCGCATCAGGCCCGCCGACGCCGCAACGAGTCTCCGTAGTGACATACTACACTACGCTTGCTACATAGCATTGAAGATTCGCCACGAGCGCGGAACGGCAGCCGTTAACGTCGCGTATCGCCACAAATCACTCACGCCTCCGGCTTTCGACTTCACTTCTAATTGTGTGCATTAAGTTTGACACAGTGTATCGCGTTGTAACGATATTATTGCTCTATTTAAATGTTTCTATGTGGTTGGTAGATACCCGACTGATATATCTATCCGATTAAATTGTTGTAATTGTAATGGACTGAAGGCATTTTCTCCTTATCTTGGATTTATTTGATCTCCTCTTGTAATGATGTAACTGTTGGGCTAATTAAAATTGCTGTAANTGCTGTGATATATTTTTATAATGATTTATGAGATCATTTCATTCAAGCTTCAGCCTACGTATGGCGCCTCTTCGACCACATTTGAAGGTTTCGAAACGTTTTGATGTTTTTCCTTACAAACAAAGTTTTATAAGGAAATGCGATTATGATGGTCCAATTTTTACTTTCAAACTTGATTATATTTCGGTTGCTGCATGCTCTATACTTCTCCGCCTATTCATTGTCTGTTCACAGGCCAATATAGAAGGTTTTGAACATTAAAGGCTAGTAGATAATACAAAATTATGCAAATTGGGCCATCCGCATTCTTTTTTGTTATAATTTGCCATATTTCAGCTACGATGGGAACTTGGTGGCTGTCTCTCGCTATGATCGAGATGTCTGTTTATAAGAAATAATTTTATTCAATTATAAATATATATAATATTATATTATATATACATTTCTTTGTTTAACTAAAATAAAAGTTATTGACATTTAATTGATTCCTTTTTTTTTCCAACTCCTACCACCAAGAAAGTATTTTTTGGTGTAGGGGATAACTTATCCTTTTCAGAATCGTTATCTAGGTGGCAGCCTAGGCATCCTACAACGTGCAAATCTATACTTATATTATAAATGCGAAAGTAACCTTGTCTTGCTTTTACACCTAAATCACTGAACCGATTTTGATGAAATTTAGCGAAAGGGAAAGGACAGGACAGTTTTGAAATATAGGAACGCGCGCGTGAAAGCTAGTTATAATGGTGTGTCCAGGCGAGATGGGTTTCCACCCGGGTAAAAACCCAATAAATACCCGTTTCATTCCACCCGTGGGTGCGGGTGAAAACAATTAATTTGATAATTATTTTAATTGGTATCTTTTCTTTATTTTTATTGAATTTTTCTCATTTAAGTTTATTGATTAATAAGTAATAAGTCTAACACTAATATGCATTTATATCGTGGCCAAATCGTAAAATTGATCAGGTTATGATGATGTGACCAATAATTTTATAAAATGGTGTTATTTCATAAATCGTTGAACCGATTTAGAAGAAATTGGTAGGAACACAATAATTTGTGATCATGGCAAGGACATGGAGGGGGGGGGGAGATGCCAAACTCTCTTTGATGACATTACGGTATAAAGTTACAAATAACAACACCAACTACAAAGTACTTCTGCTTAAAAACTTGAAATCGAACCGCCCTTCCGCCACTGTAACGCATTGTAACATTTTTCAAGACCTCCTCTCCCCCAGATTGCATTACGTAACACTAGAACGCCCCCTTAGCAACAAATACCACTTCTCACTTTTAAAAAATCGCTATTTTTGTTTTCACCCACCAGAATGGGTGATAATGGGTAAAAACCGGGTTTTTACCCAAATCACCCAGTTTTAACACTTTTAACCCAATCGGGTGAAATGGGTTTTTACCCACGCCCACTACCCATCTCTAGTCCAGACTGGGCGAATGGGCTCGCGCGCAAACTCAAGAGCAGGAGGAGCAGGACGACCAACGTGCCGCGCGAGCACGTTCGCCCAGTGTGGAGTGGACGAAAGGACAAAACATAACATGTTAGGTACAAAAACACATGCTTATTACTGTTTGGGTAGATGATGAGGAAAAAAAGAGGCGTTATGATTCTCCCCTACTGAATACACCGCACGTTCTGTTGACGCGCAAAGAATTACTTGCTCAGTGGCGCGCAAAGAGCACGAGTATAAATAAATACGGTGTGTGTGCGCTTCTCCAACTCGAGCTGCAGCAGCAGAGGACCAAGTAGACGTAGTGCCGGAATAGCATGATCTGCTAGATTATAAATTTATTGATGTCCTTCGTATTTGTCGCGCAACGAGAGTTGAGGCCGCCCATCAATACAAGCAAAGATTTATATCGTTTAATACCTATAAAGCAAACGCCGCTGCCTGTGAACGTCTCTCTTGTTGCAAAACATTACAAGAGCAAAAGTTTTGTAGCTTTGTACCTAGCTAGTGTATCGATATTTGAACATAATAATATCCTACTTCCTACTAGACTAATATTATTAAATGCAAAAGTTTGGATGTCTGGATGTTTGTTACTCTTTCACGCAAAAACTACAAAACGGATTTTGATGAAACTTTACAGTATTGTTTATAACCCAGAGCCCCGATTACGGTAACTTTTAACGTCAACAATCCAGACACGCTTCATCGATTCTGCGATACGATTGGTCAAAACAGCTGACGTACGCTGTTGAACGACCAATCGTATCGCAGAATCGAGAAGCGTGTCTGAATTGGAAACGTTAAAAGTTACCGTAATCGGGACTCAGATTATCATATCCCAACTAATATTATAAATGCGAAAGTAACTCTGTCTGTCTGTCTGTCTGTCTATCTGTCTGTCTGTCTGTCTGTTACGCTTTCCCGCTTAAACCTCGCAACCGATTTTGATGAAATTTGGCATAGAGATAGTTTGAGTCCCAGGAAAGAACATAGGATAGTTTTTATCCCGGTTTTTGAAACAGGGACGCGCGCGATAAAGTTTTTCTGTGACAGACAAAATTCCAAGCGGGCGAAGCCGCGGGCGGAAAGCTAGTAGTCTATAATTATGACGATCTGTGACAAAGTAAATTTCACGCGGGTGAAGCCGGGGGCAAATGTGTTTCAAATTATGATTTATGATGAATTAACGTGTTCGCCCTTTTATGTTCGCCTCAACTGTGGTTGAGCGCAAGCAACTAATAAAACCATAAAACCCTGATGCGTCGCACGCACATCTTAGAGATAAGAATGTCTAAAGGTAGGGGGCCAATAATTTGCAAATATTTGTGCTAGTGTTTTATACTGCAAATATTTCGTATAGGTAATTTGCCATTCGTATAAAATACGCTATGTTACCATAAACCATAACCATAACCGTTGTCGACTCCAAAATAAAAACTCAATGGATTTGACGCCGGGATTGCAACTGTCATCGCTGTCATTTTTCAGCTGTCGCCTGTCGTTTTGCTTGAATTGAAATGTCATTCGTTTGTGATGTCATTTCTTGATCAAATGTCGTTCGTTTTGCTTTTGGTTTTATTCGGCGAATTTAGAAACTTTTAGAGCACTTTTTAACCGTCTAAAAATCCTTCAAGTATTAGTTTTTTATGACCACAATTTTGTTGCTGTCTGTAGGCTGCAAAACTTGTACGTGGTCGTATGCTCTATTGCTTACGGAGTTTTACCGCGACTGATCTCCTTGGCTCATAGTTGCCTTGATTAATACGAGGTATTCCAGCTATTCAATAGCAGCGTGCTCGCTGTTACGCAAGAATTAATCAAAATAAAATTGAAACTGCATTTGGTCATCGAATTCTAGACCAGAGACTGACACGTGTAAATAGTCTTGCAGTGAACGGCACAGGCTTGCGATGTTATAATGTCTCGTAAACGTTCTCGAATCGGCAGCGACAACGAAATGAGTGAGAAACTGACAGAAGTAGGCGACGAGACCAAGAATGGCAGCAACACAAGCTTTACCAGCAGCACTAGCCAACCCACCTCTGATTTATCCTTGGTAAGTTACAGTTTCTAACTAGTTACACATTCAATACACCTAATATGAATGAGTACTTGCCTACTTTCATAACTAACCTTTCTAATTTGTGGTGACTGGATTTATGAAGTGTTAAATCCAGTGTTTTTGTTTTAAGACCGAGGTAAGTGATATATTTTGTAAGTCTAATAGTAGTAGTCTTAATTTTGGTTAGTAATTTTAATTATACTACCAACTATTACCTTAAAGATATACATATGTTTATGGCCAGTTTTAACACTTGTTTATAAAGTTTCTGATAGCCTATTGGGAACAAATGGTAGATATTTTTTCTGCAGAATAAATTTGTCAGTCTGTTAGTTCTTGTTTGGGCAATTAACTGAATTTCTCAATGTTATTCTCCAATTAAAAGTCACTCAATAGAATCAGCCTCGAGTTTCAAAGATTAAAGTCCAGTCACTGTCTACCAGAGGCTAATGGAGGATTTATTCTACACTCCCCAAGCTGTTCAAATGTAATTACCAACCTTATTTGCTAGAAAACATAATGATATGAGAACTATCTGAAACTTTATCAAGAAGCTGGCATTTACAGTATTTTAATAGCAATAATAGTTATAGTAATAATTGTTGAGTTGCCTTTGTATATCATGCTGCCTTTGAAACTGGTTGTGAACAATGTAATGCAAACCTGAAGATGTGTAAACATTAATTAATTGTGCTCCTAGATTGCAGTAACCAATGTATTTTTTTTTTTACTTGAAACAGTCTAAATGTTTCTCATCTTGCCTTGTCCACTGAAAATGTAATATGACAGAGCAAAAATTATTATCAATTTACTCAATAATGAAATTGCAGCAGAGTAAAATGAAATATCTTCATTGCATTAGACATCTTAAAATGTTTGATGACTATAAGTAAATATGAATTTAATCATAGTAAATATAAATTAAATAGGTAAAGACAACATAATTTTATCAACACTACTTAATAACTCTATGAGGAACTTAACAAAAATAAACATGATACACACTTCAATATGAATCACTGTGTCACTGTTGAGGCAGGGATTGATGAAACAATTTAATGTGATTCACTTCTGAAAGACAATAACATTTCTGTATCAAAAAGTCAACTATCATCATAATCCATTAGATTAATATACTTGTTAGTCTTACTAAGTATGTCATAGTTTCACCCTTTAATGAATGGTGTCAGCACCACTGACTACAAAAGTCAATCAAATTGGATATCAGTAAGGGCGAGTTACAAAACCCAAATATCTGTGCAAAAAGTAGACCAACAAGTTAAATTAACAATTTTAATTTTAATCTTTACTATAAATAAATACCTATACTTTATTTACAATTTTGTTTTGTAAATATTTTTATATTAAAGACAATGAGACAACAACCCGTGAGTAAGGAATCCTGTTGTCCATATCTTAAATTGTTCATCTATCATTCATAACAATTACAACAATTTGTCCTGTAATAGTCCGAAAACGAAAGCCAAATTAATCAATATCTAGGCGCGCTGCCAACAAAGTGGCGTGATCGCGTCCAAGTGACCGCGCTACGTACGCGTATAGAGTTACGGTGCGTGAATTCGTAACACCGTAACACCTATGTTACACATTCGGCCCCTGAGTAACTCGAATAATGAACCTCGACCGAGACCGCGTCAAACTACAATTTCTAAACACAAACGTATAATAGCAGCTTTATAGAATTATGCTCTTTTCCTTAACGAAACGTATTTAACGCGCCCTTGGAATTATATTTTTTCTGCTATAATTAGTGAACATGCGGATGTTAGTGTGTTAGTTAATGACGCGCACACTTTGAGTATAATGCTCGCATGTATTAAGATGTAGGACAGCAAGCACCAACCATAGGGTTCTAACTAAATAAGTAGCTCAATATAATGCGTAGTAACGTGGATAGTAGCTACTTATTCCTACTACGACGCCTCTAGTAACTGAAAGGGAACGAGTGACCTTCTAAGCTAATTTAGAGACGTTTTCTACAATACGTTTTACTCGAAATCAACTCATTATACTGAGTCTGAGACCATGTCATTTTCCCTACGAATCTAATTAAAAATCATGAGTAGGTTAGGTACACTAATCAATAAACTATAATTTAATGGTGTCATTGTTTTCAACATGATGTTTATGTTTATCAGTCGAGTGTTGATTACAGTGATGTTTTCCGTAGTTTATATTTTTAACCGGTGAATTGTTGGCGGTAGGCAGGGCATGCGTGGTGGCGACCTGGCGTTGGCAGTGCACGGGCACCCAGCGGCCCGGGTTTGGCGCCCACATATCGGTCAGTAGGCCGGTCGTTGCCTCCTCTTTCCACACTTTATAGAATAGGATTTCAGATCAAGAGACTTCAGAATCTGATCGGAAAAGGAGCACTACTTAACTGTGATGAGGACCCAAGATTCCCAAGAGTCTAATAAGATTCTAGTATAGGTCTCTACAACTCTCATCTTTTTGGGTTCGATTTAAAGTTCAAAATGATTCGCAATCGAGAGTTCACAATCCCATTCGATTTGACATTTAAGATTTACGATGTTTTTATTTGATTCTTGAATACCAATACCCATGCTAAAGGTCCAATGTATTGCATAAGCATGTTCTGAAGTGGAAAATCTAGAGCGTTCATAAAACTAATAGATAATTTCACACGCTTAACCCCTTTATTTAGACAAAAAGCTTTTCTCAACAGGACGTATAAAGCAACTAAAAGATTCATCTTTATCGTAAACGAGTCTGGAGACAGACTTTACGGCGCCACATCATATGCTATTTTTAAGCAAAGGGAGATAGATGCTTGCCCAATCTTGGTTTCCGCCTCTTGCGCTTCTTGTTTTCAAGAGTTACCTACTTCGCTCACGAGTGTCTCTATATTTTTTTTATAATTGCCATCTATCTCTAGAGTCTAGTCTCAAAAATTACAGACTATAGCTAGGTTGCTTGCGACTCTGGTTCCGGGTTGGAAATAATAAAGAAACTAAAAAAAAGATTAGTTTTAAATAATGTTTCTTCTGGCATAGATCATTCTGCGAAGCGAGATTTCAAAAAACATTGCAATGGATTATACATTAGTTCGGAGAATCGTTGTCGACGTCATGAAGTCTGTAAAAAGAGTTCGGGTTTGTTGATCTATCAAACATGCGTTTCGCATACCTACTAAACACTTATTGGAAATACATTATTAGGACTTTATGCACCCTTTTCATAAATAGATATTAGAATTTTAGTTTCAAACTATGTTAACTAATCACATAAAATAAAGTATCTGAATTTGTGATTAGTGGTACATACCGCTTGCTCTGGGATATTTTCTGTAAACTGCCTCATGCGTGATTAAAATTATAGTTGCCGTATGTATAAATATACTACGATTAATATATTGCGTGCAGCTGAATAGTAGATGCCATTAAATGCGGCTGCAATGTTTTACATTCGCATTCGCAATGGCATTGTTTGAAGTGTAATGTTAGAATTTTATCTTATCGCCTCACGCCATCGGAGGCCACAAGGCTAGCTTGATTAATAAAACCTCGTTCTATGCCTATTTTATTTATAAATAATACACTAACATTTATTCTAACCAGACAGGATTGTAAGAGCTCAGTCTTAAAATTTTAGAATGCTGATCCGCTTCCGTTTTTCAGACTGAGGCAGGCTGTTATTATAACTTTCTTACCAATTTTGCAAAGGAAAACAGACATACCTACATAGTCTAATCTAAATATGTATAAAAATCACGTTAGAATTTTCTCTAGGACTAACTTAATCTTGTGCAGTTGGGTTTTTATTGGCGGTCAAGCTGTATATCCTGGTTAACACTGGTCGGTCATGCTGTACTTACCCTTAATAGAAGGAATAATTAGTAAACTTCGGAAATCAATAACAACAAAAACACACGCTCTGATGGCCGCTCGTTCTTCTGCCCAGGCTGGGCACTGTTGGAGCGTGTGTTCTGCGGTGTCTCTCATGCCAACCAAGGCTGCAGGATATACTGTGGAGGAATGTCCTGAAGCCCCCATGGCCCCTCAGAACCTGTGTCGCCCTATATGTCAGGCTACATGTCAACATCGCACCCACTCAAAACTTTGATCACAACTTTCACAACTATGATATTTTTTTTAGAAACATTTATTTTCCCTATGTTAGTGCACAGATGTCTGTCTATACTATACATTAGATACTCCTTTAATTTTACCGTGTATTTAACCGGTTTACTGTGAGGCATGCACAAGTTCCAAGCAAAGTAATTTGTTAGATAGTACATAAATTGATATCTAGATCCACTTTCAATTTATCACGTCCTTGACTTTGGTTATTGGTAAATCGCAACGTAGCACTATAGCACACTTAATCATTCTAGTAGGTATACCTACATATTTAATTTTAACACGCACGCCTTATCAGCTAATGCTAAAGTTATTGATTACGTATACTTACCTAGATACGTTTCCATTTACATTATATTATTATCCAACTTTGCTGTAGGTATTCATTGATAATATAAAAATACAATGCGATGAACACTATGTTATCATAACAATTGTTGGATCAAACATAAGATACAACATTTTCTGCTCTAGTTGCTCTCACAATTTTGCAATTATAATAATAAAGAACTGCGATCGTATGTACTTAAGTAATCGACAAGATCATTATTAGAAAGTTTTGACGTCACGTACCTATAACACCAGGCGCCAACGCCTTCACAGTTTCTTAAACAAATACGTGACGTTCATAATAGCACAAGGACTCTCACAAGAATCTATCAAATTTATTTACACTGCACTCGACAGCAAGGCAGGTCTGCTGTAGGTACTCCTTTATCTGTGTCACGTCTCGCAAGACAGTATCTGTATTTAATCAGCTGCATCCTGCATCATTCTTTCATCATACCATTTTATTTGGACTTCATTTCTTACTTTATTAAAATTAACGTTAGGTTAATTATGTTTTTGTTCATTAAACTAAATTATACATTA